GACGAGACAGCCCCTGGTTTACTCCAGAGCTAGCTGACCTCCTGCACAGGAGAGATCATCTTTGGGCCACAGCGAGAAAATCTGGCTCAGACACTGATTGGTTGAGTTTTCGACAGATGAGGAATAAATGTACAACTGCTGTCAAAGCAGCAAAACGAAACTATTTCTTATCTCAGACCTCCAAAAATCTAAATGACCCTAACAGATTCTGGAAAACAATTAAATCTCTCTCAGGCAACCCCCAATCATCTGACCTCCCATCACAACTTCTCGTTAACTCTGCTCCTGTGTCAAATAAGCACGAGATCCTGAACTGTCTCAACAAACATTTTGTTGCTTCTGGTTCTTTATTTGACACAGTAACTAATGGAAAATCAGCCACTTCACTTAATAACCAAACCTCTACAAATCAAATCCCTCCTACAAGTCAATCCTCAGTTAATCACACCTTCTCTTTTTCTCCATTCTCAGTCAGTGAGGTCAATAAACTGTTAAAAGATCTTGATCCTAAAAAATCTGCAGGTCCAGATGAACTTCCACCTTATTTCTTAAGGCTGGCTGCTCATATCATCACAGTCCATGTGACCCACATCTTCAATCTCTCCATAAGACAAAACTCCATCCCAGACACTTGGAAAACAGCCTTTGTTCTTCCTTTGCTGAAGGGAGGTGACCCCACCTCACTGAACAACTATCGACCAATCTCGAAACACTGTATTTTAGCCAAGATTCTAGAAAAACTGATAAACTCTCAAATCAAAAATTACCTGGACTCATTTAACATCTTACCTCCACATCAATCTGGTTTCAGGAAACAACACAGCACAACCACTGCTTCACTGAAGGTTCTTAATGACGTTGTTGAAGCACTGGATGCTAAGGATTATTGTGCTGCACTTTTCTTAGACCTGTCTAAAGCTTTTGACACTGTGGATCATAACATCTTGTGTCATAAACTCTCAGAAATCGGTTTCTCAGATCACACCATTGGTTGGTTCTCTAACTATCTTTCAGACCGGAGGCAATGTGTTCAACATAATGGTACTTCCTCCAGTTATTTAACAGTCAACAATGGTGTACCACAAGGCTCAGTCTTAGGACCCACCCTCTTTACAATCTACATACATAATGTAGGTAAAAACATCCCTAATGCATCCATACATTTCTATGCTGATGACACAGTTGTTTATTGTCGAGCTAAAACTGTTGCTAAGGCTTTCCAGCTTCTGAAATCTGCATTTAACATCATCCAGACTGATTTGTTTCACCTCAAACTTGTCCTAAATGCCGAAAAAACCAAAGGGATGCTTTTTTCAAATAGGAAGTTGGTCCCAGCAGTTCTTCCTCCGATTTTATCCTCAAATGGTGTCCCCATTGAGTTTGTTGATTCCTATAAATATTTGGGTATCTTGGTCGACTCACATCTCTCTTTTAAGCTCCATGTGGAAAACTTGGTAAAGAAACTGAAAGTTAAACTGGGTTTCTTTTTCAGAAACAGATCCTGTCTAACCCTGAATGCTAGAAAACGCCTTGTATCTGTGACTTTCCTTCCCTCAATTGATTTTGGTGATATTATTTACATGAACGCTCCTACAAGAACCCTGCAGATGTTGGATGCTGTCTATCACGGTGCACTAAGATTCATAACTGGCTGTGATTATCGTACCCACCACTGCACCCTATATTCACTGGTTAACTGGACATCATTAACTTCACGCAGACTCTCTCACTGGTACATTTTCATCTTTAAATCACTTCTTGGTCTGCTGCCTTCATACATCTCCTCCTACATGTCTCTGCGTGAGTGCAGCTACGGAGTGCGCTCTCAGGACATCATTACCTGCAGTGTTCCCTCAGTGAGGACTGAACTAGGCAAAAGGGCCTTCTCCTACTCCGCTCCTGTTTCCTGGAATATCTTACAAAAAGATTTGAAGCTCTCGACCTTGACCTCTCCAAGTGGCTTTAAGAATCTGTTGGACTCCTGGCAGGGACCAATGCAGACATGTTCCTGTTTTTAGTTTCTACATTTGTCTCTGAATCTAGCAGTTTTTTTTTTTTTTTTTTTCCTTTTTTTTTTTTTTTCTTTTTTTTTTTTTAAAAAAAAAAAAAAAAAAAACCTGTAGTATGAGTTTTTATAACTGCTTATTGTTGTTGCTGTTGTCCATTGTTGTCATCTTTCTTTGTTGAAATCAGGTCTCTCTTGTAAATGAGTCCTCGAGGCTCAATGGGATTTACCTGTATAAATAAAGGTTGATTGATTGGCAGAGAAGTTAAAGCAGTGACAGTTTTTTTTTTTTAAATACATTCACATTAGTGTCATCTAAGAAGTTTGTGAGCTGAGTTGAACACCTGCACACACAAAAAAAGCGTCTGTTTGTTCCCAAGGGAATAAATGAATCTGGTTTGTTTTTCTTCTTAACACTATGCCCGTAAAGGCACGTAAAGCTTGTAAAGTCGCACAGAAGATTTGGAAAATGTTTTATGTCAGATACCCTTCTGGACTCAAACCTGTAGCCTCAGGATTACAAGAGGGTTTTTGCGATGGATGTGGAAGTAAGGTCTTTATACGAGTGTTAAGACAGCAGTCTCCCCATGGACAGCACGGTGGAGTTGTGGTTAGAGCTGTTGCCTCACAGTGAGAAGGTTACAGGTTTGTCTCCTAGCCAGGGGCCTTTCTGTGTGTAATTTACATGTCATCCCCGTGCACGTATAGGTTTTCTCCTGGTACTCCGTTGTTTTCCCTCAGACCATTAATATGAATGTTGGGTTAACTGGTAACTCTAACTTGTCCCTGTGTGAGTGAGAGAGTGAATGTTTTTTTTTTTTTTGTGACCCTGTTATGAACTTATGACCTGGAAAGGAGAAGCTGGTAAAGAAAATGGATGGATGGCATATATGTGATAGTCACAGTGTTTTTGAGCTTTCTCAAAACCTTATGAAGTGGGGCCCACCCACACCTGTGAGACTTTGTATATAAAATGTGAGGCAGGACTCGCTCCTCGTCTACATCTGGGATCCTGAAAAGGTCTTGAATGCAACAAAGTCCAGACCTCTGGCTGAAGCGTCGAGTTTGTGATCTCTAAGAGCGTAGCTGCATCAGGATTGTCTTTACACTAACAGGTTTTCTAATTTTGCTACGATCTAACCTCTTTCTAGGAGGTTGCACAGTAGGTCATCATCAAGTATGACGTAAAGCTGCCATAAAGCACATGGCTGTGCTTTATGGCAGCTTCAGTTCCATCATTTGTTTAATCAGATGAAGCAAACATGTTGCTAACAGTCAATTTATTTCTGGACGTCATCTCAAGACCCAACTTGATGTTTCATTACCCAGAGTGAGATCTCACTTTACAAACCACAAATGCTGTTTTGGTTTATTTTCACCACTGCCATGATCAGAACATCAAATTGTAATAACACAAATTGTCCACACAGGGACAGTATACACTTCTTTGTTACTTTTACCACACTTCATGGGGAGATTTTTTTTTTTATTCAAACTTTTGTTTAAAAGTAATTGTATATTGGTCAGATCCAACCTCCTGATAGGTTATATATTTTTTCCAGCATAGGTGGGTTAAAACTCAATAACTTGCAGATTTTTCTTTTATGTTTTTTACACATGTAGTTCAAAATTCCCAGCTCTTTGCAGATGCTGGTTGTTGTTTACCATGGAGCTCTGTGATTTATAACAAAATGTAAAAGTCTCGCATGCCACTGTACTCTATCTGTAATGAACTGTCCATCATTTACCTGCAGACTTCTACAAATAAATTCTCATTTAGATATCCATCTAAGGCCTTCTGCCTTCAAATCTATATACTAATGTGTCACAAAGACAGTACAGTCACAGTCTATGCTCACAGGATTTTATTTCTTTCAATTTGCACAGAACTTGGAAAAAGGGTCTCACCCTTTTCTGCTTTATCTTCTTGGAATACACTGGAGCAAGAATTGCAATAGTCCAGTTTGATCCCTCTGGAACATTTTATATACATGTTAAAGAAAATGCAATAATCATGTCACCCTGTTATTATTATATTTTGTTTGTTCAATTTAAACTCTGCTCCCTATTAAATGCCAAAATAATGTTTAATGATTGTTGTATTGTTATTTTATGCAACTTATGTTCTGTGTCTGTGTTACAGGGCCCCCTTGTAAATTAGATTACCTGTCTAAATCCAAATAAATAATATAAATAACATAAAAATTTAATAATAAACCATTTTCTAAGATATTTATTTCAGTGTACGAACCAGCTTCCTAACAGAAAGTGCGTGCAGTGTGTTCAGCCAGCCACCAGGGGGAGGAATTCAGCATTTTCGGCCTGAGAAGCCGTTTCTGCTTGGAGTCTCCTGATTGGTCCAATCCCCCACACGAGCTTGAACACTGACCAATCAGGTTCAGGCTGTTCAGGGGCTGTTGCTAAGGCACTTCAGGGGTAAAAAAAAAATACATACGTCTTCTTCTTTTTTTAATCTGCTTTCTGTTCGCCATTTAACTCCTCTATACGTGTGTCTCGGTGCTGCCAGGTCGTGAGAAATGTGTAGCATTTTAGCATTGTGGCGATACAAAGACGGATCCCCACCCCCACGAGCCGTGGGCCCTCCTCCCCGCTGCTTGGCTTCACTTGACATTTGAGCTCAATCATAACAGTGGCGCCCCTCTGCCGCCCCCTCTCTCTTCTGTCACCATCTTGCAGAGAAATTTGGTGAAACTTGCGCGCACTGTGTTGTTAAACAGTCGGTTTCAGGAGGAAAAGTCAAGCTGGAAAAGTCTTGTTGTGCAAGAGAGCGTTAGTGCTCATTTGCGTTTTAAGATAAATCTTGTTTTATTCGATTTTTTTTTTTACAGTTGTGGGGAGATTTACTGTACACAGACACACACTGTTTATTTCTCTGTCTGCTGCTCGCCACGCCCCCTGCCTCCTTCTTGGCCGCTTATTGGCTCGTCCCCCCGTCGCCTGGCCCCGCCCCCTCCCCGTGCCCTCTCTTGCACGTGGATCAGACTGTGCAGCTATGAGAGGAGCCCCAGCATCACAGAGAGCGGAGTGGAAACAGGAAGAGGAGGCGAAGGGGGAAAGAAAGGAGCCAGAGGAGAGGATCGGGTGAGAAGAGGAGGCGAGGAGTGAACAGGGGAGGAAGAAGGGGAGCTGAGGGCTGAGTGGACCAAAGACCTAAAGATTAAAAAAAAAGGAGGTAAATGAGGATTAAGAGGAGGGACCTGGTGGTTTCTGTGGCTGAGTGGAAATGTACTGCATGCAGCTCCGTGCGTGTTTATTCTGCTCAACTCGTGCATGTGTGTTTTTTCTGGTTTCTGAATGGTTTGCCTTGGGTGGACGTGCTGCAGTGTGTGGCTGCAGACTGCTGCACGCTCATGCATGAAGCGCGCGCACGCGCACACATGCTCACGTGCAGGGATGCACATCAGCAGGCAGGAGAGCAGAAATGTGAATTGATGAATGCAGCGACTGGAGCTGCTGCAGATACGCTCGGTGTTGTGGTTACATTAAACTGTTGAGCGTGCGCGCGTGTGTAATAAGTGCAACAATTACCCTTGATCTAAAACGAGCTCACAAGTGTGTCACTGCTTTATTAGAGACAGGCTGATAAATTGTTGCACTTCTATCAGTTGATCGGAACCATGATGATGGTTGTCATGGAGATCAACCACGTCAGCTTTCAGGACCACCTGGACCTGCATTTAGGTTACCATCAACCACACACAGCCCAGCTGCATGACACACACATCCATTCACACACTCCTCTCACCTGACAGTCTGCTTCACGGGCTTTGTTTGCAAATAGCTGGACATTTTGTGTTGTTTGCAACAGACCAGAACCCACCCACCCCCCCTCACAACACCACCACCCTGTGTTGTTTCTGACCTTGGTACATTCCAGCACCCCTCAGAGGGGCTGTGCTTTATGGAGCATACATGGCTGGGAGAGGGGGGGTAGAATTGAGCAGAGGCAAAAGCAGGGCTGCAGTGGTTATTTTTAGAAAATGTGATTGATATTCAGCTTTTAATGTACCCCCCCCCCCCCCCTTTTTTTTTTTTGTCTGCCATTTCAAACCTGCATCTGATTAAATGTTTCCTGTCCGGTCTGTCTTAATCTCTTTCTCGCTCTGGTCCAATCTGTGCCTTGTTGCTTCACAATACCCCCCCCAGTCTGATCTCCTTATGCCTCTGCTGTGTGTGAAGGCTGACGGGGAGCCACCAGAGACTGGTCTTCTTGTTGCAGCCTCTCCTTCCTTTTATGGTGTAGGAGTGGTGTCCTGACATGCACACACACACACACATGCACGTCTGCAGTGGTTTTACTGCAGCTCATTCAAATGTGCACGGACATGGTGGTTCTGACGTGCAAACTTTGGCTCCCGTCAGAGCTGCAGCTTTAAACCTCACAAACAAAAGGGAGAAGAAAAAAAAGTTTAAACCCCCGCCGACTGGCTCTCCAGCTCCAAACACCACCTTCCCCTCCCTCTGTCAAAATCGCACACAAATGCAAACACTCCCCTCCTCCCTCCCTCCTCGCTAGAGGCCTTCCTCCCAGCTCTGGGCTAAATGATATCACCGGTTGCCATGGAGACGGGGACATGGCGTGCAGAGTGGAGGGAGGGCGAGGCACGGGCAGAGCCGTGCACTGCCTGGAAGGGGAAGCAGGAGGCAAGGGTATTGGGTGTCAAGATAAAAAAAAAAAGAGGGCGCCTTGTTGGAACAAGTAGGAAAGCGGTAAGGCAGGGCCGTTTTTGAGGAGGGGGTGGGGGGGGATTTGCGAGGGGGGCAGGTAGAAGGAAAAATGGCTGGAAGCCTCTCAACAGCACAGACTTCATTCTGTTTCTTTGTCTGCAGCAGTGATGTTAGCAGGATGTAAATAAGAGCAGATAAAGACAATCAAACCTTCCTGTGGTCTGCATCTGTGCACCAACTGGCTCTGGGCTTTCCTCACTCTCGTGTTTTTTTTTTTTTCTCCCCCCACCCTGGCAGCTAGCAGCTATTTAAAGGGATTGCACGACGGCTCAGGTCTGCTGACTTTCTATTCCTAACTGAAAGCACCGTCAAATTAGGACCAGAAAAGTCTGTCTCCCCTTCCCCTCGCAGTATTCGCCGCAAGGTAAGATGAACCAAAGAGGGGCGCGCAATATAAAGAGTCAGCGTAAACGTTTTGTAAAAAAGTGTAAATAAAAACGCAGCTGCTGCCCAAAATACCAATGTTTTGATGTATAAACTGCACCAGAAGGGTAAACAGAACCAAGTGTTTAAAACCTGCATTGTGGTCACCATGGTAACCACATAACAGCCTCCTAAACGACAGGCAGACAGAACACAAACTAAAAAGTAAGCCTCAAACAAAACACCACTGTGCGAAAACTACAAGTCACATCTTTAAAATTCTTGAACCTTGAGTGACAGAAGACTCTTGAGTGACTTTCTGGTAGTGTTTTATTTAGACTACTTATGTTAAAAAGACAATTCACTTCCAGTTTTGAAGGGGAAATGTTGAGTTAAGTCATAACTGGTCTGTGGAAGCTTGGCTGTGCACTTTTTGCTTTAAGAGGGTTATTAAAAGAAAACCATGAGTCTGATCGCAGTGAGAGACGTTCGGAGTGAGAGAAGATTTTGATGTGCAATTCTTATATTTCCACAAAACACTGTGGGAGTAACAAGAGCTTGTTTGCAAACATGTGGAATGTTGGAGCAACTCAAAAGTTGACTGTCCAACATTTTGTTTAAAATAATCAAACATTTGTGAAAACGGGGGGTTATTAAATGGTCTACTAGAAAATATATCAGAAGTGTCAGGTCAGTTATATGAGCCTCAACGTTTGATAACCCGTTTAAACCTTAAACAATGTTTTTATCATGATTTAGTTGTAGGGGTCTGAAGAGGACTGAGTTTTGTCGTTCATTTCGTCAACAAGGAAGCGATAGAAATTTCTTGCAAATTTTCTTAACAATGTACCGCTACCAAAACTCCTAGCACGCTAGTTCCAATCCAGCCCCACGTTTTAGTGTAAAACTTGCGCGTTTTGTTTTTAAGTTTTTCAAAGCTGCAGTGTGAACTTAAAGTGAGCCTTCAACGCTTTTGCGTTGGCTCCCTTTATAAACTGCTCCTCTTTCCTCTTAGCAAACAGGAACGGTGCGACTCAGTGGCTGTTTGGTGTCAGGAGGGAGGGGGTTAGCATGCAGACTCTACAAGTGAGGCATGAAAATGCAAACAGTTTAACTTTAAACAACTTTTGAGTCGAACATCTCAAAGTAGTGCTCCTTCCTGTGACAGGAAAAGTCTCTGCATTGTTATGTTTTATTCTGTTTGAGCTGTAGATATTTTCTTCAAGGTTGCCTCCCCCTGCAAAGTTAGTCCAACAGCAACTTAACCCATTTTTGCACATGACATCATTTGGTCTCTGGGCTGGATTCCAGATGTTCGAATTAACTCTGCACAGATGGGTTTAAAATCGGAGCCGTTCCTGCTCCGAGTCGAAGCTGCTGCTGACTGACTCGGACCAACAGCACCTAAACAGAAGCGTGTTTTCAGGGAAGGCTGACAACAGATGGGTTTGCCTGTGCAGTCCTGCTCCAGAGTCCTGGCAGCTCTGGGCTCCACGAGGAGCGACTGCAATGCTTTGTCTGAAAGCACACTCACACACACACACACACACACACACACACACACACACACACACACACAGGCCAGCATAGTTTACAAGTAAAATGGCAGGAGTTAAGCTCACAGTAGGCTTCTTTGTCACAACTCAGAGCTGGCCACACGTTGATGTGAACTACCCCCGATAAGTTCTGCAACCAAGAGGCTATTTCTGCCATGTTTGACAAAGACACTGAAGTAAAGTTAAATGAAGCTGTAAACATATAATCACTAAACCATTAATGCGAGTTGATTTTGAACAGCTGACTTTTGCTAAAAGCAAGAAAATCAAAGTGGAAAGCAGCCGAAAAACAGAAGAAATGAAATAGAGGCTGAATATATTGCAAAAATAGCTGAAAGAGTCTGAAAGGAGCGTAGCAAAACAAATTAGCAGAAAAATGCATAAAAAGAAGCTGAACAGATAAAAAAAAACCATTAAATTAGCTGAAGGAAACTGACAGGAGCAGAAATAGGCTGAACTAGAACAGAAGCTGAAATGAGCAGTGAAGGATTTTAAACAGCTCAAAGGGTTTGAAGGAGGTGGAGAGAGCTCCATTCATTTTCAATGAGAACATGAAAACATGGCTGGAAAAAGCTAAATGTTTCAAAAAGTGAAAATAGCACAAAAGTCACAGCAGGAATGTCCCGAATGAGCTGAACGTTGTTGCACCAAAAGAAAAATGGATCTCTGTAGTGTGAATGCTTTATAAACATTCACACAGTTAAACCAAAGATCCAGAGCTCAAGTTCTGTTGTGCTGCTTTACTGCAACTCTGTGAATTACAGGCCCGTTGTGCCCTCTCTATTGTCTTTTCTTGCACATATACATTTCAATTTAGCCGTCGAGTCCCAAAAAAAAAAAAATAAAAAGCCCAAAGCTGCAGCAGGAGGAGCCGTCTGGTTGTAGTTGCTCTGGCAACTTGCTTCGTTTCATTCAGCTCTCGCTGCAAGGTTAATGTGGAGCAGCTGCAGCAGCCAGCCCACAAACAAACATGTAGTAGAACGTAACGTGCCACGAGGGAAGTGGTGCGATGTTCCACGGCTGTGCTTCGTAGACGTTATAAATAGCTGCGGTGCAACTTATCTCATGATCAGCCGTCTTCTCCTCAGCACAAGACACCTTCATGGAAACTCTGCTTGACAGTTCTTTTATTTAAAAAGTACGGTGGCCCTGAGGTGTAAATGTACAACATTTGAAGAAATGGAATTACATTTCAGAATGCAAAATTAAATTAGAAAAAAACCGCAACAAAAACACAACATTTGAAAAAAACGGAATTACATTAAGCCAAAGCAGAAGTAGCCAAAACAGATGTGACTAAAGTAGAAGTTGCCAAAGCGGAAGTGGCTGGAATCACATTTGAAAAAACGGAATTACATTAAGCCAAAGTGGAAGTAGCCAAAGCAGACGTGACTAAAGTGGAAGTTGCCAAAGCGGAAGTGACCAAAGTGGAAGTTGCCGGAATCACGTTTGAAAAAACAGAATTACAAGTGAAAAAATGGAATTACATTAAGCCAAAGTGGAAGTAGCCGAAGCGGAAGTGGCCAGAATCACATTTCAAACAATGGAATTACATTAAGCCAAACCGTAAGTGGTGTGGGGTTTTTTTTTTTGGGGGGGGGGGGGGGGATTCTCAATTAAAACACAACTGAACAAAAGGTACACGGATCCCACATCTTTCACGAGTTTGTATTTGTTTTGTATCTTGTTACTGTACATTGTTCTGTTCTATGTTGTTAATAAAGTTTAAAAAAATGAAGAAGAAAAAACTTTTTTTTTTTTTTAACACCACTTAGGCTTTGGCTTAATGTAATTCCGTTGTTTCAAATGTTCATTTACACCTCAGAGCCACCGTAAAAAGAGAGAAAATGTAAAATCACCATGACAAATCAAACAACGTTAATGTTTGGGGGGGTTTTGTTTGTTTTTTTATGGAAGGAAAATACTTCATGATACTATTGCACATCAAGTGATAGCTTTGAAGTGGGGTTCTATGGCCATTGTAAACAATGAGTGTCTTACCTGCACAGGATAACTTTTTGAATGACTCCAATTTGGAGAAATAGTTTAATTCAGACCAGATTGCTGAGCTAACAAGTTCGGGCAAAAATTAATGGGTTCTTGCCATCTTAAAATATCTCCAGTCTCCAATCAGGATCTTATTCATGTGAACGATATTTTAAAAACTTTTACTTCTTGGTTCATTGATTAATTCATTAATTGGTAACTATATTTTCCCTGTGAGCGAGAGCATCAGTGGTACTCTGTCTTGTTCACACTATTGACAAAGTCCAACTTTTTTTTTGTTACTCTGAAATAAAGGTTTCAAAAATTGAGTTACCGCATTAAAATCCAAGATGGCTGCCACCATTTACATGTCCATCCGTTCGTCTTGGACGCTGGATAACTTGATAAATAAGTCATGTGCCGAATTCCATTGTGATGTGTGACTGCATTTATATGTAAAAATGGTCACTTTCAAAAATTGTGTGTGTGTTGGGGGGGGGGGGGGGGGTAATATACTTCCCCTTGTCAGAACATAGCCCTCTTATTTAGGCTTATTTGCTACAAAAATTGTGTAACAGCTGCAAGAGCTGGTGACATATATTCAGTAACAGCCATATGATATGCATAGCCCTTTAACTTATATTAAATGAAAAGTGTTAAATGTTTATTAGCATTAGTCACCTGCGATGCTGTTTCACTTGTGGAGACTTGTTTCAGGTTCCTAGCTGCAGTGTGGGATCCTCCGCGCTCTTGTGTATGAAGGACAGACTTTTTAAGTTCAAAGTTTTTGTCTATCCTTTGTGTCATAAGACTAATCATGCTAACAGGGCTAACACGACGTCCAAATGTCTGTGGTAAAACTCACCCAAGCGCTATCAGCTATTAGCTTCTCAATGCCGTCGGAAATGACGGCTTGTAACTCCAGTAAGGCTACGTCGGAAAAATATCTCCGACTGCGGACGATGTAGCGAGGCTCAGCGTAGTTCAAAAATCTTCAGAATTCGACATCCTCAATGAAAATAAACTTCCACACCACCGCCATTTTGAATTTTCCTCTCCATCATGATCAGATCAGGCAGGTGCGTGTGACGTCATCACGTTGTGCTGGTGCTGCAGGCATCCTTGTCACTGGGTTGTCATACAAAAACAGTGTCTTTTATATCTGTGATTATTTTAATGGAATGGCCAATGTCCGATATTTAACTTTAACGCTAATATCGGCCGATACCGATACCATGCCGTGATATCGTGCATCCCTAATACTAACGTTGGTGCACCAACATGTTGGGAGTGTATCGATATTAGCAATATGGGATCGATACTTGAGTTTCTTTCTCTCCTCTTCTTTCAGTACCTCACTCCAAATTCAGAAGTGCAATTCTGCACTTGTGTAAACAAGAAACAACAAGATCAAATGTAAACGCGCAGGACACAACAAGCACAGCAGATGACGACCACACACAAAACAAAATTGAATCTGAACAAAGAAATCAACATTTGCATTAAGACCTGCAGTGTGAGCGTAGTCTTTGTGTCACTGTGATGAACTTGCGACCTACCCAGAGTGGACCCATCAACTGCTCCGTGACCCAGAAAGAAAAAAGGGAGTAAAAAAATTGAAATATTTTTTGCGGAAACCACAGGAAATCTTTGAGGTTGAAATTTATTTAAAACATCAGCCGCCCATTTTGTTTTGGGCTTCACTCAGACTATCTGTTAGCTTCTAAATTCTTTCATGATTAAACTATTTCCCTCAAATTGAGGCTGTTCGAAGCGCTATCTGCAACAGGTAAGATAATGATTGTTCATGACACTTCCGCAGAACCCCACTTCCAAACTTTTGACCTTTTATTTTAGGTCAGATAATAAAAAAGTACTGACCCAGGATGATTCATCCCCTTTACTGTCAGTCAAATACACAGTAATGTAAATACTACTAAATGTATTGAGTTTAAATACTTAAACAACAATTGTTTCCCTCTCGTTGCACATAAACTGAAGTTGCCGTGGTTCTTGGCGTTTCGTTGTCACAGGATGGCCACTGGCTGTGGTATCTGCTGGGAAGCTGTGATTAGAGGCCGAGTTCACACACACTCGATACAACCACTGAGCAGATGTGTAGTCCAGCAGAAAACACAGCATTATGGGAAGTCGGCATTCCTGCAGCCCACAGCATAACCCTCTAGTTGAAGAGTCACCGATCCATGTGATCAAAGCCCATTTTAGATGAAACCAGAACTGGACACCATTTGAAAAAGTCTCAGTTTTATCTCAGATTCCCCCAGAATTCACACCCGAGCTCCCGTAGACGTCTGTTTCATCTGAGATCGGACTTTTCTCTTCAAAACTGGACAGCGAGAGGTCTTTTTAACCTAGAAAAAAACACTAAAGATGCATAAAAGTCTACACGTGTTGACCAAATGCTCCTGCAGCTTAGAGTTGACAGACATTTTTTTTTTCATTGCAAATGATAATAATCATTTATGTGTGGTCTACTCTGCACGAGTGCTGTCAGGGAAGGAGAAACAGGTGTGTGGTTACCATGGTGACCCTAATAATCCACTGGAAACTGCTTTAAAGTTTCTTTTATATTTCTTTTAGCACGTTTTATGCAGTTTTACATGAAACATTGGCATTTTATTGGCTTAGATGATTAAAAAGTAAGCCTTTTGGAAGTGTAAGCAGCAGCTGTCCTTTTTTCCAGATATGTTCGGGCTGTGTCGTGTTTACACCGTGCTGATCAGAAAACCTCTGTATTCCAGGCTGCATGTATCACTCAGCAGAGCTGTACTCTGGTCGTAACACATGGGACTCCTATCCAGCTGGAGGGCCTAACAGAGGACCATGGGCGCCTGTGAACGGTCGCCCCTGGAACAACACACAAAGGTCAGCAGCACCAACACAGCACCCACACATCACCAGTTCAGTTTTGTCTTCATGAAAAGAGCAGTATTCACTCCACACTGGGTGAATGTCAGCCCAAGCAAGCCTTCCCCTACAGACTGTTCAAGGATGCACAGTGTCTGTTGTTAATACCAATAAACCTTCCACCATTTATATCCAGTGTACAGTATTACCGAGGCCTGTCACGATGAGAAGCTAAGCTAACAGTTCGACCTCGGGAAAAACTCTCTGTCTTGTTGAAGCTCCAAAATTCACGGTTGAAACCCGTGCCTTTGTGTAAAAAGTTGTTTTTCTCTGCAAAAAGAAGCTGAGAACTTGTTTACTGGTTTTTTACTAAAAGCTTTGGGTGAAAAATTCTATGTTAAAAAGCTCAAACCACAATGAGCGTCCTCCATTTTGAGAACTGAAAAACAGGAAGGAGAGACAGCCCATGTCACTTCAAGGGCCTCCTGCCCACTTTGCTTAAAGAGACACATTGGTCCCTCCCTCACTATCCATCTTTCGGTTCAAGCAGTCTTATACTGCCATCTGGTGGTCAAAAAAGGTACTGCACGCAAAACAAATCAACATTTCTTCTTAAATTTGACAATAATTACTAATTATTGTCAAACTTCAAAGAGTATTATTGTTTATCACAATAATTTCTGAGACAATTAATTGCCCAGTAAAATTTTTAATTGTGACAGGCCTAGTATTACAACCTGCGGTATGCCATTGTACCCCGCCGCTGAGGAACTTAACTAGTGGATGTTTGTAGTTTTAAAGATGAGTGTTTTTCCAGACTGGAACTGAACAGAGCATGCAAGTGAACCTTAATGTTTTTGGTGCAAGACTATATAAGAACAGAGGTATTTTTAAATAATTTATTTTTTCTTGTTTGAGTTGGTGCAGAGTGATGGACCCTGGTGAGTGAAGGGAGCAGTTTTTTCAACCACCAGGTGCAATGGCGAAGCTAGGGGGTGGCCTATGCTTGCCTTGGCCACCATGGATTCATCTTTGGCCACCCCAGTCCATCCATTATCTTTACCCGCTTCTTCCTTTTCGGGTTGCAGGGGTCACTGGTGTCCATATCCAGCATTGGAGATGTGTGAGAGGCGGGATACACCCTGGACAGGTCTCCAGTCATCACAGGAACACTTAGAGACAAACAACCATTCACTCTCTCACTCAAACCTAGGGACAATTTAGAGTTACCAATCAGCCTAACATGCATGTTTTTTTTATCTCTGGGAGGAAACTGGAGTACCCGGAGAAAACTCACGCATGCATGGAGAGAACATGCAAACTCCACCCATAAAGGTTCTAGACCGGGATTTGAACCGGCAACCTTCTCGTTGAGAGGCAGCAGCTCTACCAACTGAGCCACCATGCTGCCCGCCACCCCCTATTCATTTGAGGAAACTATACTTTTAAGGAAAATAACTAGAAAGCATAATTTCCTCAAATGATTGGGGTGGCCAATTTACATGTGTAAATGGTGGCAGCCATCTTGGATTTTGTCATGGCAACCCTCTTTTCAATGGTGATCTTTTTTATACCTAGATTCAGCCACATACCAAAATGGAATTCGGCGTGTTGCTTAATATTTAATTTATCCAGCTCACAAGAAAGCCAGACATTTATGGTAGCAGCCATTTTGGATTTTGATGCAGCAACCTAAGTTTCGAAAATAACGTTTCTATTGCACACCAAAATGAAAGTAGGCACCTTGGTTATTTTTTCTGTTATCATGTTCACAACATATACGGAATTCCCTACTTTCACTCCAATTAATCATAGACATTAAATAATATATTTGTCAATCATGTGGACCCCCTTTTTATAACACCCACAGCTCATTTAGATGATAGAGGCTGATTTGCTGAAACATGGAGATGGTTGTGAGTGTTATGGACAGAAAAAAGAGAGAAGTGAGCAAAATGTGGGTTTTCTACTAGTGATGTCTTGAACCAATCACAAGTATCAGATCAGGGTCAGGGAATTTGTTATTGATCATTACCAGAGTAGCTGACTACACTATCCTCCTGATCTCTGTTCTTGACTGACTGGTTTTACAGCAGCCATGCTGCAAGATGTTGGTATGTATACTGCTGGAGACGCAATACTTCCTGACCTCCAACACAAAATAAAAACTACTTGAGGAACAGCACAGAGACATCAAGCGCATGACAATGGCATTGATTTTAATACCTTTAATGTACTTGTGGTTTGTAATCTGCAAGTCTGTACTGTAAAAAATGCTAAATAGTATCGAACTGATACTCTGTCTTGGCCGATGCTTAATTTTAATGACCAATGATCAATATCAGGGACAGAGAAAATCTTAATCAGAAAATCACATCTTTGCCTTTTGTTCCACGTCGCAGAGCGAAAAGGAGGAATTGAAAATATCCGTGTGTCCATGCATGTTGTGAGTGCCATAACTTGAAAAATAAAGGGAGGTACTTATTTCTATTTTGGTGTGTGGCTACATCATGTAAGAAAGGTTCCTTTCAAAAATTGGGTTGCCCCGTCAAAATCCAAGATGGCAACATACATATATGTAAACTGGCCACTCTGAGGAGACTATACTATCTAGTTTTTATATTGCTTAAAAGTATGGTTTCCTCAAATGACTGGGGAAGCTGAAGATTATTCTATAGTGGCCAAAGCTGCCATTGCACCTGATGGTGGATAATATATCTCCCTCCACTCACCAGACTCAATCACTCTGCGTTGCCTCAAACAAGCAAAAAACTACTACCTCTGTTCTTATACAGTGTAACTCATACCCACATGGCCTTGCACCAAAAACATAAAGGTTTGCTTGCAGTCCCTGTTCAAGTCCAGTCCAGAACCACTCATCTTGAACTCAGGATCTCAGGAGGCTTTAAGAGTTTACCAGCACAGGCTTAAACACCTGTACCTGAACTGATCCGGAATGAGGCTTTTATTGTCTAGGCTGGAACAAGATACAGTAAGTACCACTTTACGGAGCTGTCCGGTTTAACTGAAACTCTGATGAGCATATTCATGAGGCCCTCTTGTTTCAGCTACAGCTGTGAGAATGAACTCAGCGTGCAGTTTGAACAAGCAGAGGACTCATAAAGGAGACTGAAACATCCACAGATGCAGCTGCAGCTGAGGCCAAAATCCGCCATCAGCAGAGGTGCACACTTGATTGAGACATTCACAGCAACAGAACAAAAAACGATCTCAAAACAACAAGTCTGTTTGCCATGAGTCCAGCTTATAGCCCCAGAAGGGTCAGAGTTCCCAGATGTATATTATAATCATAAATAAACTACATCCAAGAATACAGTACTGATTTTGTTATTTTTTCTTCTCTACAGATGCCAAGAAGGGCGCAACCAGTCCCATCATCATCCATCAGGTCGTCATTATGACAGGTGAGCGATCAGCTGTGTTACTGAAACCACCTGCTGACTTAATGATCGGGTTCTGTTCTCAAGTGCTTCTCATAGTACTTGTTTCACCGAAGTTTCAATGTATCTGTAAATGGGCTCATGTCGGACACTTAACAGGCTATCTTGTGGCGTACCTCAGGGTTCTAGTGTGAAGCACTTTGTGATATTGTATCTATGTAACATGCTTTATAAATAAGCATTACTTATTATGGGTGATGCTTTGATTGATGTGGATAGAAGTCTCCTTTGTGTCACATGCTGGCTGAATTGTGGCAAAGTGGTATCTGAAACAATAGTTGCTAAGTTTACTGTTCTTTCTTCCCAGAGGGGACAGAACACTCAGTCACATCCAGGACAAAGGCGTGCCAAAGGAACATCGACAGCTGTTCCAAAACTGGGATGGTAAAGAGCAGAAGTTTCAGGCCCAGGACTGGCATCCCAACGCACCACGCTCATTCAACAACCAAGGAGGTGCCAACGGTTACCTAACCAGACCCGGGCAACGCTATGCAGACTGGCAGAACAATGTCAGCAACAGTCTGGTGAGAATCGCCGACTCTGACCTCCATGCACGTGTATAGTAATACTTCCTGTTTTTGGCAGCATGGGGATCCTCGTCTGAATCGCAACAACAGGGAACTGCAGCCCCCTCCGGATAGATGGGCCACTTCAGACCGCCACAGGAACTTCACAGGCAGAATGGTAAACAACAGACCGGGACCGTGGAAACGGCCAGCCATCCACCAGCGGCACCATCACAGTCCACCCCCACACCACCATCTGGCTCCTAGGAATGGGTGTCCAGCTAAGAGGAAAAGGGACGTTGGCCCTGATCAGGTACTTTCTCTCAGTTGGTCAAAAAAATAAATAAATAAATAAAACTGTGCATTTTAGTGAGACAGCACCACCTGTTGGTGAAACAGACACACACTGGCAACATATTTCTGTTTCTTCAGCCATTTCATCCTGAATCAAGGCAATTGCCTCCACCTGCCCATGCCCCATCATCACCCAACCACTCTCGGTGCTACCAAGAAGACAGGGCCGGTCCTTGTTATAACTCTGAACACAGGACCTCAGCAACACAGCAACAGGTATGCTTACACAACCAGCTGAGACTGAAGAAATCCATCTGTCAGTGGTAGGGTTTTACATGTATGGACATGATAAATATGATCTAATCTTTTACCATAGTTACATTTATTTAAATCTGACCTCAAGTGTACAAAAAATGAAGACAAAATTGAAAAAAAAACCTGTCATCTCATACCAACTGTCAGCACGGGGTAGGAGTGATGATTTGTGTTTAATTGGAGCCACTGGACCTGGGCACCTTAGACAGTGTAAGGCTAACTGTCTCACAGCTAAAGGTAGTAGCTCACTGGACTGCAACTATCAGAGACTAGTTGATCACTCAAAATTAAGGGGAAGAAAAGGCAAATACCTCTGCAGCTCTCGCAAGAAAACTGAGAACCACCTCAAACATTGCAGGATGTTTTGGAGACTCCATTGGGAATGCTGTTTGCCAACTAGTGAGATACTACCTTAAAGCTTGGACTAAATTAGGTCATAAAACAGGACAAAGACCCAAAACACAGCATCACATCTACAACAGAACAGCTGATAAATAAAAATGTCAAGGTGTTGCAATGGTCCAGTCAAAGTGCAGACCTCAGCTTGACTAGAATGCCGAGGTGGGAGCTGTGCAGAAATAAATATCCCCGAACCCCAATGAACTGAAGCAACGTTGTAAAGAAGAGTGGGATAAAATTGCTCCACAGTAGTTTAAGAGACTGATAAAGTCATACAGAAACCCCCAACTGAGAGATGTTAATGTGATTTCTTGTGTGTTTAGATAAACTTAAGGTGTTATTTTTATGACATGCTACATAAAATCCTAAAACTGAAAAAGGGTGGACTTTCTTTTCTTCGTGACCAGTGGTGGGCAAGTTAGCTTCGCTAACCCATATTCCACTAACTAAAAAAAATTGGGTTTGCTAACGCTAAACCGCTAAACAGCTAAAAAAATTTGCAGAAACACGCTAATTGCTAAGACAGCTGTCACTCAGTCTGCGTCACACAGCTTCGTCTCCTTTCAGTTGAAGCGGCATCGACCAATCACATCTTGGTTTGTGTACTGCAGTAAGACAATAGCGTGTTTAAATGACTCTTCAAGACATGCCAACAACAGACAGAAACAAGTTTGTGAATTTTGTTAGCGGACTTAAAGTTAGTAATACCTCATTTAGCGGCTAACAGTTTCCAAAGTTAAGTTCGATAAGCAAAATATTAGTTCTGTTTAGGCCTGTCATGATAACAAATTTTGCTGGGCGATTGTCTCAGAAATTATTGCGGTAAACGATAATATTGTTTGAAATTTGACAATAATTAGTAATTATTGTCAAATTTAAGAAGAAATGTTGGTTAATTTGTTTTAACTGTAGTACCTTATTCGACCACCTGATGGCAATATAAGACTGTTTGAACCGAAGGATGGATAGTGAGGGAGCGAGCAACATGACTATTTAAGAAAAATGGGAGGAAAGCCCCTTGATGTGACATGGGTTGTCTGTTCTTAATTTTTTTTCAGTTCTCAAAATGGCGGAGGCTCAGTGTGGTTTGAGCTCTTTAGCATAGCATTTGTCACACAAAGTTTTAATTTAAAAAAATCAGTAAACAAGTTCTCTGTTTATTTTTGCAGAGTTAAACAACTTTTTACACAAAGGTACGGGTTTCAACCGTGAATTTTGGAGCTTCGACAAGACGGAGGATTTTTTTCCCTGAGGTCAGCCTGTTAGCTTAGCTCATAGCTTAGCTTCTCAACTAGCTGCTTTTAACAATCCAAAAGTGTGATTTTGGATTGTTAAAATGGATTTAAAGAGAAAGAGAGAGGTCAGTGAAGAGCACTGGATTTGAGCCGTTTGTCATCCAGTGTCTTCAGTAGAAAGAGAGAGACAAAGAAACAATAACAGATCAATGAAAATGAGGTTGATAATTTTCATTTATTATGCGCTTAATTGATTTATTGTTTATCGCGACAGGCCTAGTTCTGTTATTAGCTGATCAGTGGAACTGTGCCCGCCACTGCTCATGACCGTAAACAAAAAACTGTACCTGAAACACCTTGGCTGACTACTGTTATTATATTTGAAATGATGAAGGAAACCTCTGAAGTGCGAGCTGGAGGCCATGACTTTGGTACCTCAGAACTTGTAACCCAGAGCAGCGGCAGCAAACCATCACACCACGGTAACAGAGAGAAGTCCGAACGGAGGACCTCGGCTCCACCAGCAGACCACACCCGTGTGCCTTACAGCGAACAAAATCATCATTACCACCATCAGCAGCACACAAGCCACCCGAGAGTCCCACAGCACAACACACCACTACGCCCTCTGGAGGGAAAGGACTCCTGGGGTCATCACCCCAAACAAAGCACAGTAAGAGACTGAAATTGTGTAGTTTTCACCATTTACGCAACTTTTTAAGTGCACTGTTACTATTGCTCAGAAGAGTAAGACTCAACATAATTTAGATGTTTAATCAAACTAAAGTTCAAACGTTGCTTCCACAGGGAACTCATCACACCTATCTAAAAGGCAACTCAATGGATCCGTCCATCAGCAAGAGTTTTGCTGCAGACTCTTCTCCAAATTCATCCCCACTTTGCAATCCTAAAGAAAAAGGTTCTACTTCCATCAGTCCAGGTGCTCCCTCCAGTCCCCGTTCATTGACCGTGGCCAGTGGCAGAAAAGATGCCTCAGACAGTCAGCCCCGTTCTCCCTACCTAAATGAGCAGCAGAAAAGCCAAGTGAGCCCCATTCCCACTCCGAGACCCAGCCCGACATCTACCAAGACTCATAGGTCTCATTCTGGCTCAAAGTCCAGGTTTCCAGATCCCAAATGCAGGAAGGCCCTCTCACCACAGTCTCCTGTCGCCCACCCAAAATCAAGCAAGCCTGAGAAGGAGCAAGAGGATGTCAAAAAAACTAAATATCAACAGAAAGATAGGCCTCTGAAAAAGGAGAAAAAAACTGATGCAGATAGAACAGACGATGAACGGAAAAGACAAAGGAAGAAAGAAAAACACTTGAGAAAGAGAGACAAGGAGTTTAGAAAGGACCGAAAATTCAGTACGAAATCAAAAAAATCAAAGACGGAAGGATCCTCCTCCTCTGCTTTCTTGTGTCCAGGAGAGGCCAAACTACGTAAAGTGGAGACATCGTTGTCCCCAGGTGGTCAAAGCCAGCCATCCCTCAAACACAAGCACAGGGAGAGGAGTGAACAAGCAGCAGAAAGAACATCCAAAGGTCCATCCACTAAAACCCCTCGTCCAAGCTGCCCTTCACAGCATTCAAAGTCAAAATCGAATAAGATGCCCAAAAAGAAATGCAGTCCCCCACAATCCTCAGTCAATAAACTGCCAACAACATCTCCCTCTAACTACTCCAGTCCCAAACAGACCAGCAGCGCCACGTCTTCAGACGATGGACCAAAAACATACTTCAATGGCACATTTCCCTCTTCCATGTGTAAAGCCCCAGCATTGCTCAGCACTGCATGCTCCACTGGTGTAGAACAAGCCATTCGTAGCAAAGATGATGGACAGGGGGGAGTTCTCCATGCCCCAGACCTTCAGCCTGAAGCCGTGCTGGGAACTCTGGTGGATAGCGTGGACAACCATTCAAACACCCCTCCTGTGCTCAGTTGGCAGGGCTCCCCGGTGTCAGATCTCGAAGAAGAGGATGGAGAGCTCGATAAAGGTGTGATGAGTAGACCTGTTCTGCAGCCCAGCCCCACCCAGTGCTTTTCCCCTCCTCCTGCAGACAGCGAAAGCAGTGATGATACGAGAGGCGAGCCTTGTTTTGACGCAGTGAATGAAGATTCCCGCAAAGGCACATCTGAACTCTGCGATCCACCTTGCGCAATCAAACAAGATGTGAAGGAAGACAAGAAAGAGCAAGGAGATGCCAGTGGCAAAACTGCTGGCTCACTTCTCAATGGGTTCCACCAGCATAAAGCAGGTCTGGATGATGTTTTCAAGAGTCTCGCCAACTTCCTGGGAAGCCAGAGGGCTGCGTGTCGAGGCGGTCCGTTCGGCAGGGCTTTTACAAAACGAGTGACCTACTCCTCATCTCTTGCAACAGCACCGCAAATACACGATTGTGAAAACCAGGATCTCTCTCCCAAACCAACTCCCACGCCATCCTCCGAGTCCAATAATCAGTCACCCTCTGACACTACCTCAAACTCACTTCTAAAATACCACACTCCTCCATATCTGAAAGAGTCTGTCAAGATACAGGAAAAGCAGGAAAAAAGTGAAAGTTCTACTAAAGAGACCCAAGAAGGGAGGCTCGCTGAGAACCTCTTGGAGAAAACAGAGTCGTCTCTTTTGGAGGGATCACTGAGTGCAGAACTGAGAGTGACCACAACTCACAGGGCCTCTTTCACCAGCGTCATTAGCGTCTCTACCAAGGAAGAGCGAGAGAACAGGAAGGAGACGGGGCACACGACCGCAAACAGGAAGCGAAAACAAAAGGCCAAGGATATGGGAAGAGGAGCAGAGATCAAAACAAAGATAAAGGCGAACAAGAGGAAGGTAAAAAATAAAGTCAAAAAAGCGAAAGAATTAGACAAGAGGGGCATTTCATCCTCGGTGTCAGTTGTCTCCAGAATCCTCGCAGACAGTACGAAGGGCCAGATTCCTCAGGAAAATCAACCCCCCCATGGCGAAGGCATCAAAAGAGTCAGACTGGACACTGGGAACACCGACGCAAACATGGCGGCAGATATTAAAGTAGAAGATAGTGAGACGGAGAAAAAGGCAACCTCAGACAACAACACCTCAAACTCAGCAATCACTACATCCAAGTCAGGTGCTACTAAACCCTCAAGCAATCCTCCCCGCTCCAAAGCTCCCGTGGATCCCCTGAGACTGAAAGCATTGTCCATGGGTTTGTCAAAAGAGCTGAAGATCGTCTTGGTTAAGATGGACTGTGCTGGAAGGCAAACGTTTAACATATCAGAGCTGGAGGAAAGAAGAATCCCACTTTCCAAGATCAACATTCAAAACTCAGCAACTGAAGTGATCAGTGCGTGCAAGTGAGTCCTACAGCTTAGATCCTTGTGTGTCAGTTGATTTAGTTCACTAGTGTTAATGTTTGTGTGTTTCTGTTCCACTGCTTCACAGAGGGACAAAAATGAAGGACAAATTCAAGGAGTCCTACCTGCTTCCTGCCTTCTCTGTCAAACCCAACATTGGTATTCACACTCCAATCCCTCGGGAAAAGCTTAACCCTCCCACACCAAGCATTTATGTGAGTGTACACCGATCAGGTGTCAGCCCACCATTTTACCATTGACTTATAAGAATCCAGACTTTTCTGTTTTCATTCCAGACATATCTCCAGCCTGCTGTCTTTCCTTTTTTACGATCCAACCAGTTTTTGTTCTCAGTGTTTCGTGGCGTCACTAACAAGGCCCTGGTTGGACGAAGTGTAGATGAAGTAAACAGAGAAAATAAAACAAAAAATTATAACATGTTAAAAAATTAATGTGTCAACGGTTAATGCCAAAATTTTATCAAAGATCTTACACAATGTTAGCACTCAAGGTATATGTTAGGGATGACTCTCAGCTACTACTGCACCAAATTATACCTCAATATCTAGAAACTGACTTATTGCTGTTTTTATATTCGCTAAGGTTATTTAACTTGAATCAAGTCAGCTCCAAGTTAATCACTCCCAGCTGTACTTTCTGGCAGTTTCGTTAAAAACTGTCCACTGCTTTATTTGATATTTTGCTAACAGACGACATACATAAACAATATTGCACAGCCAAACTGAGGCCCCGTTTACACAAGAACAACCTCTGGAAACGTTAAGTGTTTTTTCAATGTTTATTGTGGGTAATAAACAAAAATAGAGCAGGTTTCCTCAAAAACACAGCAGTTTCCATGTCAGTCGGGTTGCCAGATAAGAATTTAAAACTTTATTTATACAGGTTAGTCTCATTGAGCCTCAGGGACTCATTTACAAGAGAGACCTGAATGATGAACTATAGTGATGAACTATAGTGAAATGATGAACTCTAGTGCTGTCGCTATATAATGACTATATAGAACTATAGTTCTGTCGCTGATGAAATGATGAAGTATAGTGCTGTCACTTTAAAATGACAGTATTTTGACCAACCCTGTCATATGTGCTGAGTAGAGGTATTCTAAGATGAGGTGTGCATTGTGTTTGTTGAATGTGCACAGAAAAGGAGGGGGTAAATAAGACATTTTAAATACACTGTATCTGGCAACCCTGATGCAGGGCTCAGCTGCATTCATTTCGCATGCAATGTCTGCATGATCACAGTTAATGTCTCTTTGGACCCTGGATTTTATTAGTTTTGCTCCTACATGTTGAAAAGGGGTGAGTAGCACAAAAAGACTCTGCTCTCTGCCATTCATTATAAATGTTGTTAGTGCAGAAAAACTTTGGACTGCAGCCGCCTGTACTGTGCATGTGCGACTTCACACTTGAGGAGCATTTCACACCTTCGTGGAGGGTTCCCCCAAAAATCTCCACTCTTGAGACCTGGATTCAGAAACCTTCAGTTTCAGAGAGACTGAGAGCTGTTGTCGTGTAAATGAACGACCGAGTAAACGGGGCCTGAATCTTTGCTTGTTGTTCCTGTTTATATACAAACTAGCATTAGCACTGCAGCGTAGCTAGCTACTGTATGAAGCTAGCATCCCAAACCTTTGCTCTAAAATCCAACAAAGTTCAGTGAAGTCATCTGGACAGTTTATTTTTTTTGTTGAGACGTTTCATTCTTCATCCAAAGGACTTCTTTAATTCGAGGAGCCACAAGCAAACTCAGTCCCACAAGCAGCACACTCCCATAGTTGACCAACCAGTTGGATGGTGATAAGATGGTTTCTGGGGCCTGCCCTCGACCCCGTCGACTCCTCTGAGGCAGCCAAAGTGGTTCAAAACATCAAAGTTCTTGCTCAATAGATTGATGAAGTCCTATGGATAAAGGACAAAACATCACAACAAACAAAAAACCATCCAGATGACCTGACTGAACTTTGTTGGATTTTTTACATTGATCTTTGCTCTAAACGTTCAAACAAAGACCCACAAGAATGTTTGCTGCCCTTTTTGTTTTGTTTTGTCATGTTGCAGTCAGTAAGTTAATGTAGAGAGTTTGTTTAGTTTTTAATATTGGTTGCACTCAGAATCACAATTATCAGCCTCCAACAAAAGTTACAGAACTTTGGCAGCGAGTGACTTGTGTGCGTGTTCTGCTGTGAGAAGATAAAACTTTGGCTTTTTAAATAAGTTTTATTGAAATAGATAAGTTTTGTAGTAGTAATATGTCTGACATGAATGAACTAAGATGCTAAGTTAATGACCTTAACTTTTCCTGTAGTTGACAGCTAATAACATTTGCACGCTAGTCCTTCTTTATTGCTGAGCCTCATATTTTTACCATCCTGGGACAGCTATTTTATTACTTTCATGTTTTCTTTCCCTCATTGTTCACTGTTATAATTGAAAAGTTGTTTTTTTTTAAGTGCCACAATTGTTAGATGATAACAAAAAAAATTGACACTTGTGGTCACTTAGCCCACAAAACCAAATCCCAGAAAACGACGCAAACAAAGCAAAAACATATTTCGTCAATACAAATTATTTTTGATGCAGTCTTCATAATTTATGCCTGTACTTTGCTTTTTGTTTTACTACAGTTGGAGAGCAAGAGGGACGCCTTCTCTCCAGTTCTTCTTCAGTTCTGCACTGATCCAAAAAATGCCGTTACGGTCATCCGAGGCCTCGCTGGCTCTCTCCGCCTTAGTGAGTCTAACCACATGTTTCATCGTATAGCGTTAATTTGTAAAAAGTGAAAAGCAAGATGAAGTATATTAAGCACAGATATTTGTATTTCTTTGATACCGAACTCTGTTCTCATCTTTTTTTCTACGTGAGATCTTGGCCTGTTCTCCACCAAATCTCTGGTCGAAGCCAACTCGGACCATGCTGTGGAAGTGAGAACTCAGGTTCAGCAGCCAGCTGATGAGAACTGGAATGCAAATGGCTCCTTGCAGACGTGGCCCTGTGAAAGCAGCCGCTCTCACACCACCATCGCCAAATATGCTCAGTACCAGGCCTCCAGCTTCCAGGATAGCCTGCAGGTAACCATCGTCTCCCAAGCCACATACAGTATCTTTGTAGTGACACACTGATTGTCTCCTGTTGTGGAGCAAAGCTGGGAAATTGGAAAAACCCTCCATCCATCCATCTGTCCATGCATGTTGTGAGCAAAATAACTTGGAAAAATAAGTGAGTTGCCAACTTTCATTTTGGTGTGTGGCTGTATCTAGGCATAAGAAAGGTTTTTTTTTAAAAGTGGGTTGCCACATTAAGATTCAAGATGGCTGCCACCATATACAGTATACATATCAGAATCAGAATAAGCTTTGTTATCATTGCACCGAAGTACAGTGAGATTATATTCCGCACAGTCGTCCGAAAGATGGGCGGAGTGCAAATGGCTGCAGCTCCTAAGAGCGTGGCCTTTTATTCTTTAGATGGAAAAGGGGCAAGGCCATGAGGATAGGATAGTGGTATTAAAAAAGAAAAGGTTTCGTCACACTAGGGGCCGATTTATCGTCCCCAATTTCCTTAATTTTAGGAAATCGGAAATCGGCCAATACTTGCATGAGAAACCGATTTTATCGATATTTTGTTTGTTTTAACAACAATTGTCTAAACATTAATATTTCAGAGCACTGCCTCATGGCCACTTAAAACAAGTTTGTATTGTTTCTAGGATATTGTTCAAGGGTATGTTTTTCAATAATAAAAAAAAAGGAAAATTGAAGGTGCATTGTGACCTTATAACACCAGACAGTGTCGCTTATGAAACAAAATCAGTATCGGACAAAATCGGAATTGACAGGTCAGGCTTTTTAGAAGTCTGTGATCGTGATCGTCCAGAAAACTGCAATCGGTGCACCCCTACTTCACACCTTGTCCTTGTCAGGGCACGATACAAGACATCAAGAAAATCTACTAGCAAGCACATTTATAGACACATTACATATATATTTGATGACAAGACGGTGAGATTTGTCCATGATTGTCTTTTTTCTAGAATTGCGCCGCTCAAAGTGGCTGCATGTTGGAGCAGCTCTGTTTCTTTCATTCTGACATTTTGCTTTTGGAAACTTTAATTCCTCTTTTTCTGGATGTAAATCACATTTTTTGGATGATTGTTTCCTCTGGTATCGAATGCTGTGCAGCTGGAAGGATTTTTACTGAAACTTTTTTTAGTTTTGGACATTTGTTATGATGCGTAACCATGGCAACAAGGCAGTTTTCTACAACAACAGCAGCTGAATAACATCTCAAAAGCTGAAATAATATCTCAAAATGGCCCCAACTCTCAAATGAGTTGAAAAGGATGTTCTATGGACGCATTCTCATCTACCTGCCAGCTGTGCTCGAGTGCCTGACCACTGAGATCCTGGAACTAGCAGGAAACATGGCTCATGACAGTGGAAGGACAGGATCGTCCCTCAGTACCTATAGCTGGCTGTCCGCAGCAAGGAGGAGCTCGGCAGACTTATGGGAGGAGTGGCCATCGCTCTGGGAGGAGTTCTGCCCAGCATTCAAGCGGTCCTACAGTCCAGGGGAACCAAGAGGCCAGCCGAGTCTGGGTGGACGGATCGGACGGCATCTGCAGCCAGTTTCTTAGGATCCACTGTGGGATGGACCTTTACAAGTGATCCTTCCTGCCTACAGCCATCAGCATCTATAACATCTCTTAATGAAATGAGGATAACGAGTTACAACAACAAAATAATTTCCCTCTGGGATTAATAAAGTATTTTTGAATTGAATTGAATTGAATTGAATGATGCACTTCCAGATAGCACCATAGTCCTGATAAAATGTTAGTGTGTCAGCCTGTACAGCTCTAATAAGCATTCACAGAAGTTCTCAGGGGCAGGTTGGGGTGGAGGGGGGGTGGAGGATAGAGCAGAGCCTTCTTAGTTTACACATCCCCGGGACCAATTTGATAAGTTGGCCTATTCAAGACCGAACAGAGAGGCCAGATTCCGATAAGCTACAGTTGTTTTATATATGTTAACAGTGTGAACTGGATAACTTGGAAAATCAGTCAGTTTCTTTATTGTCATTCGCACCTCATGTGGTACATGTGGTGAAGCGAAATTATGTACACAGGGTCCCAGTTACATCCAACTAGGGCTGCAACTAACAATTATTTCAATAATCGATTCAACGGTCGATTATTTTTCCGATTAATCGATGAATCGGCAAAAAAAAAAGTTTTAATTTCCACCCCTTTATTCCAAAATTGAACATTTGACTGACATAGCAATTCACACAAAAAACAGGTTGCTCTTTGACTATTCTGTTAGTAAAATATTGAATAATAAAAAATAAAAGTTAGTCAAATAGCTTAAAAAAATAAATGTACACAAAAATATATACAAATGTATCTTTATACCTGCACAATAATTAGCTACTTTGTAAAATGTGTCATTGAGGGAAGAGTGTAACCTGGATAAAAAGTGTGGATTATTGTAACCTGGATTAAAAGTGTGGATTATTGTAACGTGGATTAAAAGTGTGGATTATTGTAACCTGGATTAAAAGTGTGGATCATTGTAGTGAAGCTTTCGTCTTCAACCATTGACAGAGGCCTCATGTCAGTGACGATCATGTTCAGGATGCTTTCAGTGAAGACAGCTGCTGCTGTGGTGTCCATGATGTCTGTCCATCATGAAGGATGTTGTTGTTTGTTGTTGTTTTCTGGAATGAGACAGTAAATATGTATTATAGCATAATTTACATCATCTCAAGAAATGCCTTGTTTCACTTACAGTGTTAGGTTCAGGCAAAAGTAGCTCAAAGAGCAATTAAACACACACACACACACACAAAACTTTATTACACACATTTGAGTAGATGTAATAAATTACTTTAATTCCTGTTTAAATGCAATTCATCCTGCCATACCTGCAGTGTCTTCAGCCTTTGCCAGCAAATTAAAAGTTTAAGCTTAATCATTAAATTATTATCTTTTTGTTAGATTTATTTATAAATCACATTTAAACACTGCTTGTACCAATTACATTAAATAAAAACTAACACACGTTCTCTATCACCGTCATTAATCAGATAACAAACAAACAAACAGCATCTTCATCTACAGACAGACTGACGTTACGTTTTCTCTCTTGAAACAGAACAATGTGTTAAATTGTAGAGACTCACCTGCAACACATGAGTTGGGAGTGAGACATGTTGTATCTGCTGCAGCTCCTTCCTCCTCCTCGTAACTCCGACATGTTTACGTTTCATCTCCGTGATTCTCCCGTGTCGTGTCGGCAAGTTTCAAAGCTGCATGTTTCAGTTTTTATCTTTGTGAAGTTCTCCCACACTTTGGAGGACTTGGGTCGAACAGTTTTTGCTGCGTCAGTCATTTGTAAAATTTACTTATTTTCCTTTGAAAACACCGACTCTGCTCTGCTTCCACCTCCCCCCTCGCTCTGTTCAACTTGCGCTGCAGAGTTGGGTTTTTTTTTTCAAACTTTATTCGGTCAGACAGCATTGACAATGCCTGTGCTCGTGAACAAAACGGCTCGGCAGCTCCGTGAAAGACACATAATCGCGCGACACAACAAATCGATAATGAAATTCGTTGCTAGCGCTTTAATCATCGATTTTTATCCATTTTATCGTTTCGTTGTTGCAGCCCTACATCCAACAATAAAATGTAAAAGAAAAACAGCAATAGCATCCAAGATATGAACCAAGAAAAACATCAACTAAATATACACTAAGCAGTAATAACACAAAAACATCACGTCGAACATCAGCATGAACATGAACATGAGTCTGTGAGCAGATGAGCACGCATGAACACATCAACATGAAACAGATCAGCAGCAACATGAAACAGATCAGCAGCAACATGATGTGATTTTTCACAGTGAATATTCTGATTAGAGATTCATGAGTCTAACAGCCTCAGGGTAGAACCTGTTCCCCAGTCCAGTGGCTCCACACTTAACGCTCCTCAACCTCCCTCCCGAGGGTAGCGGGGCAAAAAGTGTGCGCTTCGGGTGAGTGCGGTCCCCTATGATGCAGGTGGCTCTCCCCCTGCACCCAGAGGTGCAGACGTCCGTGACAGCGGGGAGACCAACCCCAACAGTCCCCCGTGCATCCTTCACCACTCTCTGCAGAGCTCCTATAAGATAAATATATCCTAAATAAAAAACATGCTGACTTTCATTTGTTTGGCTGCATCTTGATGTAAGAAACGTTATTATCAAAAACTGGGTTACCACATCAAAATCCAAGATAAGCCACCACCATATATATTTGTGTATGCGTGCGCATGCGTGTGGGGTGTGTGTGTGTGGGAGTAAACCAACCACTCAAATCATTTGAAGAAACTATACACGTTTTAGTTTATGTATTTCTTAAAATTATAGTTTCTCCAAATGACTGGGATGGCCAAAGATTAATCTATGGTGACCAAGGCCACCACTGGCTACCCCATGGTTTCACCATTTTGCCTGATGGTAGATTAAATTGCTCCCTCCACTCACTCCGTCACACTGAGCTGCCTCGGATGAGGAAAAAAAAACTTCCTCTGTTCTTATACACAGTGTAACTCCTACCCACTTGAATGCCTTGCACCCAAAACATTAAAGTTTATGTGCATCAACGTGCCTCTTGTTTCGTTTTAACCGACAGCTAATGTTACGTTTCTGTGTTATAGGACGAGAAGGAGAGTGAGAGTGAAGAGGAAGAAGAGCAGACGTCAGAGCTCTCAGCAACGTCAAAAGCTGCTCTCACGTTAGCAAATGCCACCAGCACACCCAGGTTGGATCCAAATCCTTCTCTGTCTCTTTGAATAAACCCCTGATTATCAGCGTCAACAACAATCAGCTCACATGTTGTTTTCCACAGCCCAGAGCAGAAAACAGTTGGAAAGATCATTAAGTTCGGGACCAACATTGATCTTTCTGACCCTAAAAGGTGAGGTTACAAGTTAGGCCCAGCTCATGGTGAAGCACTTCCACATTGCGCCGCTTGTCTTGATTTGGATTTGTGTTTTTACAAGGTGGAAGCCCCAGCTGCAGGAGCTGCTGAAGCTGCCAGCGTTCATGCGAGTTGAATCCACCAACAACATGCTGAGTCTCGTGGGTCACACCATCCTGGGCATGAACACCGTCCAGCTCTACATGAAGGTGCCAGGCAGCCGCACGCCAGGTCAGTGTGCGTCTGTCGTCGCAGTTAGGGTTTCAGAAGCTTCTTCAAATAATCATCTGCTCGCATTTCCCAACAGGTCATCAAGAGAACAACAACTTCTGCTCCGTCAACATCAATATCGGACCTGGGGACTGCGAATGGTTTGCGGTCCATGAACACTACTGGGACGCTATCAACAAATTCTGTGAAAAGTGAGCGATCAGATTGTTGTAGTCCGCTACAAATACAGTAGTCCTTCGATTATCGTGGGGGTTACGTTCCAGACTCCTTGCAATAGATGAATTAGGGATGTTATCTTTATTTTAGTATTTATACATAAGGCTTTATAAACCTCTCCCACACTCTTGCATTGTTCTAAACTCTCTAAACGCTCTAAAAGAGCAGAGTGAAAGAGAGCAGCCAGACTGATGCTACGGTTACTGAGCCAATCCCAGTGTGCCAAAAAGTGATGGTCTGCCAAAAATCGATTGGCGTAACAGAAGCACACACGACAGGATTCTCTGTTTCAGTTCTTTGAAATTTAACAAGATTAATCCCTAAAAACGATTATTTGTTTACTCGACATTATAACAAAGATGTGTCTCCGTTTACTTTTTCCTTAATAAATGCACTTTTAATGGTCAAAAAAGCTCCTGCAGCGCCAATCGATATTTGGCAGACCCATCACCTTTTGGCACGACACCGGGGGCAGACTGGCCATCGGGGGCACCGGGACATTTCCCGGTGGCCTGGCCCACTCAGTGATCGTCGAGGGGCTGGGCCAAAGGCTCGGTTTGGGTCATGCTTCATTATTTTAAATCAACAATCCATGCCGCTCACTCAAGTATCAGCTCTAGAGTTGCATTCGGGCCCAAAGCCCCAACCCGTATCCATCATTTCCAAACCCCACCCAACCTGACGAATTAACAGTAATTACAGGTCCGAACCCAAAACAAACCCCACCACAACATTTTTTTATTAAGCTTTGACTGCTTATATAGTTATTAACAGTCGGCTAACGCGCGCGACTGAATAAAGGCGCAGAAGATCATAACTGAGGGAGTGTTTGTCCTTTCATGGCCGTCAAAGAGCATTCAATCCCTGCTTCTGCCTGCATTCTGCATTATTCAGACATGGACCCTGCTCTGACATGTCTGCTTTGGGATCTCATCTGTTTGCATCGTCAGCCATGCGCGTCCGCTGAGTGCAGCAGCTGAACGTCCATTTGGGCGATGGATCGGTTCCTGGCAGTAACCTACCAGTAGTCCCATCTGAAGCTTAACTGAACTGTATTTTACCTTGTTCAAGGCCTGTCCGCTCGCGGTGAAATGTCCACATGCAGCTGGTGAAGGTATGGCAAGCTATGTTGCCATATAATTGGATCGCAGCAAATCCGCTGACACAATCAAAAGTCGGACACTGACCCGGCCCACCCATCCAGCACATTATCATGGCCTGGCCCAAACTCGGGTCGGGCTGGGCTTCGGGCCCAGGGTAGAAATGACAGCTCTAATCAGCTCCCACAGACTGAACAGTAGCGATGGGGAAAGACAGACACCACCCCCCCACCCCCTCTTTTCTTTTTCTGTGCTGTGACAGACAGCCTCAGAAAGAGAAAGGAGGGGGCAGAATGGGGTTTGTCTTTCCCCATAGCCAGTCGTGTTTCGTGTACAATCTTATGTTGAAAACCTGCACAAGAGTGAGTTTGTGAAAGTCGAATCGCGAAGTATCGAGGGATGACTGTATTGCAATGTTATGTTTGTGGACTAAGTTGGTTTGTTGCTAACGGTTTCTGACAGGCATGGAGTGGACTACCTCACAGGGTCTTGGTGGCCAGTCCTGGAGGACCTTTACAGTTCCAACATCCCTGTCTACCGCTTCATTCAGAGACCCGGTGACCTGGTGTGGATTAATGCCGGGACCGTTCACTGGGTCCAGGCAGTGGGCTGGTGCAACAACATTGCCTGGAACGTGGGACCGCTCAACTGTACGTCACAGCAAAGACCTCGATGCAAAGAGCAGAGGTACCATCTGTCAGCTGTGTCATTCTTTGTGGTTTTTTTGACAGCTTACCAATATCAGCTCGCCCTGGAGCGCTTCGAGTGGAACGAGGTGAAGAAAGTGAAGTCGATTGTTCCCATGATCCACGTTTCCTGGAACGTGGCTCGCACCATCAAGGTCACGGACGAGGATACCTTCAAACTGATCAAGTAAGACGCTTGTCTGCATAGGTCTGTGAGCGAGTCGTTATTCGTTCACGTCGTTTATCCTCCGTGTCTCCCTCAGACACTGCCTCCTGCAGTCCATCAAGCACATCCAGATTCTCAGACGCCAGCTGGTGGCCACAGGGAAGAAAATATTTTACCAGAGCCGCGTGAAGGACGAACCTGCCTACTACTGCAACAAGTGTGACGTGAGTCCTTCCTCCTCCGTTTTAATTTGGCCCGATGCATCATGAACACATTATGAGCCTGAGCTGTGCTCGTGCAGGTGGAGGTGTTCAACCTGCTGTTTGTGAGCAGCGAGAGCAGTAGTAAGAAGACCTACGTGGTGCACTGTGAGGACTGTGTTCGGGCGAGGAGCTCATCGCTGTCGGGAGTGGTGGTGCTGGAACAGTATCGGACGGAGGAGCTGATGAGAATTTACGACAGTTTTGTTCTGGTCAGTGTCACGGCAACGTCTTTAACATTGCCTTCCATGGTGCTTCTCTAGATGTAAATGTCTGTTTCTGCTTACATTTGAGCTTTTTGTTATTTTTCCAAAGTTGTTTTTCCATTCTACAACCCTTTAAAGGCGTTCAAACAGCATGAATATTCAGTAACGGGACGTTTCAGTCATTGATTTTAGCCCATTCTAACTCTAAACAAACTTGAGGGAGTACAAAGTGTAACGTTATCGGTGTAATTTTAAATATGTCAGCGTATTCTCTGTATTGGACAGTTTTTTTTTTACAGGGCAGAGGTTTTTCTAAAGGCACCCTGTGCAATCAAGGATGCTGGCTTCTGGATGTGTTAACAGTCTGGCGGATCCTTTTTGACTTAGGTTGAGAGCACACTGTAGTGGTTACTCTCAAAACCAATCTGGAACAAGTGATTCTGCACCAAATAAAGAGGGAAACGTGTTGTGAGCCAACAGTCAGCTCAGCCACACAACTTCTACACAGGTGGATAAATGTAAGGCCGGCAGATGGTGTCTGTGTCCAGCTATTCATCTTTTTCATATTATAAAAAAATGTCATTACATTAAAGACAGGCACTTATGTAGTTGTTTATTTTTATTTGTAGTTTTCTTACTACTGCTAAGAATGATGACATTTTCATCCACTTGATGACCTTAAATAAACCTCTTCATTTTCCTGTTTTGGCAGCAGTGAAAAATTTCTAATGTACCAGTGATTTTTATTTTAGTTTTTTTGGTAATTATTTTAGAACAGCAGCAAAGTCAGCGTCCAACTGGAGCCTTGTTACAAGTCCTTTTCCACCCTCTCCAACATCATTTCCTGTCATCTGTCAGAGGCATAATGAAGGCATTTGATTTCTGCCTGATACGGGTTCTGCTCACAGCGGGCTCGTGGTGATCAGACCTTCATGAAGCAGCAGTTCAGGCTAATTGTCCACAGTGGTGGATTACTCACTCTGCCTGACTCAAATCTCAAGCATATGCAAGATGATTTTCATTTTGTTCCTTTGCCATGAACCCTGGGCAGCAGGATACTAGAAATGCACAAACTATAAGAACCGTTAGAAGGCTTATCTTCAAAACTGAGGCCATACTTATCATTTAACTCGTGAGTTTTATGATGATATTATCAACCTTTAGTCTAAATTTGTGAATAGATATGTCTGCAGTCGAGCATAAATACCTGTGTCTATGTGCATAAATTGTTTGGACATTTGTGCAGGGGCACCACCAAGGAGGGGCCAGTGGGGCAATGACCACCACTAAAAATTGGTGAGCCCCCTGACAGACACCCTTGACCAGCTCATTTTATCCTTTTGAGTCCCAAGCTTGGTGTGCATTTTTCCATTTCAGCTAACTTTTTAGTGTTATTAGGACCTCATAAACATTAAAAACAAACTTTGTCCCTGAGCAGTTAGGAATTAAAGTGTACATATTTATTTTATTTAAAATTAAAAATAAACCTTAAAATCTAGTTCCACTAAACTAGATGTACCTCTAAAGATTGTGTTGTGTTGATTGAGGCTTATTTCCTCGCACGGCGTCTCCTTAAAACAAGGATCGTTGTTTTTCTTTCTCTGTTTGGGATTTGACTTCTTCGTCCATTTTGTCTGTTGCCACCTTTTCAACGGGAGTTTGATTCTGGCCCTTTCAATATCAGGATGTCATAAAAGTGTACTGTATTTTCTGCCGTACACGTCGCTCCCCCTATAAGTCGCATCAGTCCATATTTGTCTAATAAAATGGAAAAATCCATAAATATGTTGCTTTGCCGTATACGTCGCATCTATTACGCGTCACCTCTGACACGTCGCGTTTGTTACGCGTCACCGCTGACAATCCGGAAATGCGGGCCGGTGTTGTGCCAAAAATCGATGGGCTGACAAATAGCGGTCGTGGGAGTGTGCTCAGGAAGACTTTTAACAAAAATTTAACAAGACTAACACTTAAATACAATTATCTGTTTGCTCAAAATTATAGTAAATGTATGTCTCAGTCAAACGTTTGCTTAATAAATGCACTTTGACAGTCAAATCAGCTGCATTTCAAAAGTCGATAAAGTATAATAAATAAAGTCCAGTTCTTTTTGTTTTAAACTTTTTTGACCTTGTCATTATAGCCACGTTTACCTATTACATGATACAACGGCATGCCTTACTACTACTGTTACTCTGCTGCCATCAAGTGGCTGCTCAAATGTTTTTTCAGTCAGAATGAATGAAAACGGTCATCTCTCAGCCAAAACATCGGTTTATAACCGTGGGGAAAAAAATCCATAAATGTGTCGCTTCAGCCTATAAGTTGCAGGGCATGTAAATTATGCAAAAAACTGTGACTTACAGGGAGGAAAATACGATAGCTGTACTGTCAACTTGTTTTGTGTATCTGAACCTTATCTCCCAAAGCGTTCTGGGGGAAATGTTGCAAGAGTAAGGGGTGCCAGGGCTCTTCTTATTCAGACTAAGTAGAACTGAAATGAACTATGTCCAAATTCTCAAAACAAAGTCGAGCTCATCTCTGGTCCGGTTTGCGATGTTTACGGCTAGGATCTCAAGACAGTCCTGGAAGAGCGTGTCTGAACTGGAAACCTCAGTGTCTCATTTCTACATTTTACAGATGATGTGGTGCTATTGACGTCTCCAGGTAACGCATACAGGGGGAGTTCACAGTCAAGTGTTAAGCTGCTATGATGAGAGTCAGCTCTTCTAAGTCTGAGGCCAAAAACTTAATTCTCCTCCAGTTCAGGAGTGAGTCTGTGAAATAGAGGAGTTCATGTATCTGGGAGTCTTGAGCAATGGTACGATGAAGTAGGCGATGAACTGACAGATTAGACGAATTAGAACTAAAAGGCTGAAAGAGCACACAAACTGATATAGGTAGAAAGAAGCTGAAAAGAGTGCATAAAAGCTGAAAAGTAGCCAAAGAGATGCAGAAACATGGCTGAAGGTAGCTGATAAAGCAGGGGGGAAAAAAGCTGAAATTATCTTTAAAAATCTCCTGATGCATGCTCAATAATCCAGGTAGAAAAATATAAAAAAGTTAAATCTGGTCCTCTGGACATTCAAAAAAAGGGCAGGAGAGCTGTGATCAGTCTTACATTGGGGAAACAAAACAGCCACTGGCCAAAAGGATGGCCCAGCACAGAAGATCAACATCATCAGGCCAGGACTCTGCGGTCTACACTCATCTCCAGGCCAGCGGTCACTCTTTCAGGGATGAAGATGTTCACATCCTGGACAGAGAGGAACGATGGTTTGAGAGAGGAGTAAAGGAGGCCATCTTTGTGAAAAAAAATTGTCCATCATTAAACAGGGGTGGAGGCCTCCGGGTTCAACTGTCCCCCTCTTACAATGCTGTGATTGCTAGTATCACTCAGCCCTCTGTGAACAGTAAACAGCCATCAGTGTGCTAATGGTCCATTGTTAGGCTGATGGTCCTTCTTGAGCATGTGATCAGCTGGTTTTGGTTGTCAGCAGCAAAACTGGTTGATCCACTCTAAGAAGGTGCTATTTAAGAGACTGAGCTGAATACAGCTCCTCAGACTGAAGAAGTCTCTCGGACGAGAGACGAAACGTTTCTACATTTTTTTGTTGATTTGCTTTGTTTTTTTTTGTTTTTTTTGAATGTCCAGAGGACCAGATTTAACTTTTTTATATCTTTAAAAATGTAGCTTATTTCTCCTAATTTCAGCTTTTTTCTACTTCGAAAATGGGAAAAGGCAAGCTAAAATGAGCAGTAAAAGATTTTAAACGGCCGAAGGGTTTGAAGGATGTAAAGAGAACTGTGTTCATTTTCAATGAGAAAAATATGGCTGACAAAGCTAAATATTTCAAAAAGTATGCATTGCACAACTACCAAAAGTTACAGCAGAAATGTCCTGAATGAGCTGAACGTTTTGACTTATGAATTCTGATAACAGGCGCCGTTTTGGCCGCCTACACTGACAGAGCCAATTTTTAATAAATTATATTTATGTTCCGTTAATAGGGTCAGATTTTTCAAAAACTCAGCTTCAAATTTATTTTATGTTTCAGTCGGCCTAAAAGGTTGCCCCCTCCTCCTCCCTCTTCTTAGACTGTACCTGCTTCCCCCCACCCCCACTTTCCTGCAATGCTCTGGTGCTCACGTGAGCCCAAAATGCATGGATAATATGTAAACAAGCCAACCTCTTTGATGCCCAGGGATGGAGAAAAAGACTAATGGAGGGAAACACGACACAGACAGGGGAAAAAAAATACACTTAACTAACTATTATAATAGTATCAGTAAGTAAACCACAGCTACTAACTAATAACAAAGTTGTGAAGTCCTCCTTTATCCCACAGAGTACACACCCACAGCACAAAATATGGCAAGAAGAAGCAACATCAGCACATATCCTATGTGATGTGACATACGTCATAAATAATATGACATAAATGTTGTGTTTGTGATCAAATATTCTGATCATCACATCATAATTTTCACACATCAAGTGCACATAGAAACATAAAATACTATCTGTAGAACCACTTTTACTAAACACAACTTTGCTGAAGGTATTTTGTAGCATGCATTTGAACTGTGGTTTTAGCCAGCATGTTTCTTTATATTTATTTAATTATATGAAGGAAATGTTTAATGCACAGGGTTAACTTGTCTTCTGTATTTTCAAAGAAAACAACGAGTCAAGTAAAATCATTGACTACATCTCTACAGCGTTCTAGATCACATTCATACACCAATGGGGCTCACATTGGAGGCAATAAGGGGTTCAGTGTCTTGCTCAGGGACACTTCATCATGTGACTGCTGGTGGAATCAAACCCCCAACTCTCCCAATGGAGGACGACTTCTCTAGCCGTTCAGCCACAGCTGCCCCGTAGAGAAACAAGTAGAGAAAACAAGAATAACAATAAAAAGTAGAAAAATGTGAAACACCAGCTAAGCAGATATAATCTGTATGATCTTCCCTGAGAAATATAGGGTTGGACCAGTTTCCATTTCAGCTCAGACTGCAGCTCATCAGCTGATGATAAAATGTTCAGACTGTTTGTTGATGAGCAGACCACATTCAGCTGAAAGAAACATCCTGCAACAAACATCACTGCCTTACTGTTTTTTTTACTGTACCTCTGTCTCTGTCTCCCTCTACAAAATTGATTGACCGCTGCTGCTGATTATGACTTCATAACGCTTTTCATACCTGTGATGCTGGTGAGACGTTTTCATCAGTGATCAGTGTCGGTGCGTTCACCAACATGTTCGCCTCACAGAACATCTACCGTAATTCCCAGACCATAGAGAGCACCTGAATATAAGCCGCGCACACTAAATAAAAATAATAAATTTGTATATAATTAGCCATGCATGTTTATAAGCCGCAAGTGTTCACGTTGTAACATGAGTGGCAGCATACAGCCACTGAGAGAGGTGCAGCCTCCTACTCTGAGTCATTAACATCCTACGTTATCCTCCTACTCTGAGTCGTTATCCTCCTACTCTGAGTCATTAACATCCTACGTTATCCTCCTACTCTGAGTCGTTAACATCCTACGTTATCCTCCTACTGTACGTTATCCTCCTACTCTGAGTCGTTATCCTCCTACTCTGAGTCGTTATCCTCCTACGTTATCCTCTTACTCTGAGCCGTTAACATCCTACGTTATCCTCCTACTCTGAGTCGTTAACATCCTACGTTATCCTCCTACTCTGAGTCGTTATCCTCCTACTCTGAGTCGTTATCCTCCTACGTTATCCTCCTACTCTGAGCCGTTAACATCCTACGTTATCCTCCTACTCTGAGTCGTTATCCTCTTACGTTATCCTCC